CAAGACCAGGCGCACAAGACCAGGCACGGTGGCTCACACCTGTAATCCCAGCACTTTGGGAGGCCAAGGCAGGTGGGTCACTTGAAGTCAGGAGTTCAAGATCAGCCTGGGCAACATGGCGAAACCCCATCTCTACTAAAATACAAAAATTAGCCATGCGTGGTGGCGTGCCTATAATCCTAGCTACTTGGGAGGCTGAGGCAGGCAAATAACTTGAACGCAGGAGGTGGAGGTTGCAGTAAGGCAAGGTACCACCACTGCCCTCTAGCCTGAGCAACAGAGACTCTGTCTAAAAAAAAAAAAATAAAAGAGTGAAGGGAGCAAAAGCCCAAGAATAGATTTAACCTCTGCTCCCCAGCAGCCCCACAGAAGAAGGGGTGAATTTAGCAAGTAGTGGGTTAAAATTCAAATTGGCATGAGTGATAACTTTAAAACAAAGACATCAGCTGGGCGTGGTCGCTCATGCCTGTAATCCTAACACTTTGGGAGGCTGAGGCAGGTGGATCATTTGAGCCCAGGAGTTTAAGACCAGCCTGGGAAACATGGTGAAAACCCATCTCTACAAAAATATAAAAATTAGCGGGACATGGTGGCATGCACCGGTAGTCCCAGCTACTCAGGAGGCTGGGGTGAGAGGATCACCTGAGTCTGGCAAGAGGAGTCTGTGGTGAGATGGCACCACTGCACTCCAGCCTGGGCAGCAGAGTGAGACTCTGTCTCAAAACAAAACAACACACAAAAAACAAAGACACGGCCCACTTTCTTGGGGAAATTTTCTTTTGATTAGTCTCACCTGGGGCCAGACCATTAGACACTGAAACCACATAAATCTGTCTTATTTCTTAGTCACCTGTCACCCTCAATTCCACCCGGGCTCAGGCCTCTTCTTCTAATTTGAGGTTTCTTTGTGAAACGCTTGTCTGCACTAACCAGATGATTCTCTTTCAACTAACCTGGTCACCCAAAACTCGTTAAGTCATTTAAAACTGGGTTTGCATCTGTGAAAAAGCAAAAGGCAGAAAGCAATTTGGTTCTTTCTCATCTTAATTGTTTCCCCAGCTCTGCTGTTCTTGTTAATGTTGGCCAGGCTGGTCTCGAACTCCTTACCCCGAGTGATCCACCTGCCTCGGCCTCCCTAAGTGCTGGGATTATAGGTGTGAGCCACCATGCCTGACCAAATAGCCATTAAGTCTTAAGCATGACATTTAAACTAAGAGTCCACCTTTCTTTCCTGAAGTATTTTTGTTTCCTAACCAGCAGTACTTGTTGATCCTCATCTTATAATTCTGCCTTATACTGGGACAGGGGTGACCCAGAGACTCTGTGAGATCCATCATTCTCAGTAAGTGTGACTTTGCGGGTATAAAATCTTGCCTTGACAGCAACAGGAAGGAAGTATCCAGGCCTTGCCATACCTGCCTGGGGAGGAGGGTTGGGCATCCACTTAAACTCCTCCAAAGAAGAACTGTTCTGTGCATGAAATGAGCATGGAGAGCCTTTGTCCTGCAGGACATTCCAGCAAGAGGTTTCTCAGGAACACGAATGGGAGTTTACAAAGGTCAGTATCTCAAAAAGACAGATGAACTACTGCCAAACATTCAACACAGGACTCCAAGAAGCCAAGTCATTCTTAACATCTATTTTTTTTCCTCCAGGTCAGAATCAGTTTTGCAAAATAGGGCGATAAACAGAACAACAGGTAAAAGAGAAAATCATTCCCTGTTCTTCCATAATGGCCTAAGGAAGCCGACAATCTGTCTTTCTCACACCACGTAATTGGAAAGGAACAGAGTCCCATATGAAGCAACCCCTTTTTCTAGAGGTTTAAGCATAGGTAACGCACAGAATGAAGCTGATCATTAGAAATAGGATCTATTTCACAAAGGGACCCATGTGAAGAAATCAAGTTGACCTTGTATGTTGCCTGAAGACCTTCCACGTTTTTCTATGTTGGAAAACTGACATCAGCCTGCCATAATTACCAGTGTGTACTGGAATTGGTGCCGGATCAACTGCTGGCTGCATTCTCACTGACACTCTGATTTGCCAACACCCTGACCTACTAGGTTGGAAGACTCTGGGGTTCCTGGCACTATCCCCAGGGGAGGTACGGAGTTCCAGAAGTAAAAGTCAGCATATGTTCCCAAGCCTGCCCTCTTATCTTCTCACAGGGAGATTCCAAAGATAATGTCGGTAATGCTTGAGAAATGAAAATGCTTCCCCAAATGAAAATATATTCTAGCTTATTTTAAATAATATAAGATGCTGTTCTTTTTCTGTGTTCTCTTAAGATAATTTTATTTTCTAGATTTTTTTTTTTTTTGAGACAGGGCCTTCCTCTGCTGCTCAGGCTGGAGTATAGTAGCACAGTCACAGCTCACTGCAAGCTCCGCTTCCTGGGCTCAAGCCATCCTCCCACCTCAGCCCCCAGAGAAGCTGGGATGACAGGTGTGTGCCACCATGCCTGGCTAATTTTCGTATCTTTTTTGGTGGAGACTGGGTTTCACCATGTTGCCCAGGTTGGTCTCGAACTCCTGGGCTCAAGCGGTCCGCCCGCCTTGGCCTCCCAAAGTGCTATGATTACAGGCAAGAGCCACTAACTCCAGCCCTTCTTTTTAATTCTTGTTTCTCCTCTAACTTGTTTATTTTTTAAGAGCTGAAATCTTGAACCTCCGATTCCCACCGAGCTTGAGTTATATGTAATCTAAGGGTTTTATCATAACAAACTGGGCCGAAAAAACTCTGATCTCAACCCAGATGCTAATTAAAACCCTACCTGAGTCATGTTGCTACGGTTACTGGGATTTCTCCAAGCCCTGAGATTCTTAAAGGAGTAAATTTTAGTTACTTCTCCAAGGCTTAGGGTGGAGTTCCTGGGATTGAGCCATGCTAGTTCCTATAGGGTGTGGGTGTCATTGTGCAATCAACAGCCCGGGTGGCTTTTGCCTACATCATAACTAACCTTTGCATTGGATTCCATTGTTTGTCTCATTAGAGGCTTTCAATAGCAGGGTGTTATCGAAGTACTATTATCATCTCATTTTAGAGAAGAGACTCCAGACACTCAGTTTAGAGACTGACTGACTCTTCTAGAGTAGAGACTGGAGACTCAGTCACAGTGAGTGGCGTATGCAAGGTCACTCTATTTGTAAGTGAGAGAGAGGGAATAGGAACTTGGTCTAGTGCCAATATCTGTGCTTTCCACTAATTTACCCAGGACTGAGGCAGGCAGATACAATTTAGACGTTTTACTCTCATGCTCTGCTCAATTTCCATGCTCCTTGATGTCCTATAGGTTCAGGAGGAGCGTAGACTTAGGATTCTTGCGGGTATGGCAGGAACCTTAGGCTGGTTACTCTAGCTCTCCATCTCTGCTTTGTCATCTGTAAATTGGGGCTGGCAATTCCTACCTCTTAGGGCTGTTCTGAGGATGAAATGAGTTGTTATGTCTAACTCTTTTAAATCCATGCCTGGCCCATAGTGAGTGCTGTATAAACGGAAGCTCATCTTAGCTGCTGAATCCCTCATTCATTCGGGGAGTTCACGCGGCTGCCAAAGAGTCTGCAATCACCTCAGGATCTGGAAGACGTCTGTTCTGCATGGTGGGCGGCCAATGCAATTCCAGAACAAAGTAGTGGTCATGAGAAAAAAACCCACGTTAGATCCCATCAGTGCCTGAGACGCCTTGATGTTCAAAGTCAAGTGTCCTAACTGCTTCTCTCTGTGGTCAATTTCCTTGATTCTGACATCAGCCCAGAGGCACATCAGCTGAAACAGAACCACTGGAAATGACATGACTCAAGCAAGTCTGTTCAGAAAGGCTGTAATTTTTTGAAAAACAGTAGGTTTCTCCTTTTCCTAACAGGAATCAGTTTTGTTCTAATCGAAAGAAATTTTTTTCCCCCAGCATTTAAGTCCCATCCACAGCTCAATAGCTTAAAAAAAAAAAAGACCATTTATTTTTCTTGAGCCTTTAAAAGGCACTTTAAACTGGTAGGAGATAGCAGGGAAGCAGTAGAGAAAACTGAGTTTCAGCATGCTAACACGAAACTACATTTTTTTCCTCTAAAAACCCACGTCTGAGGGTTCCTAACCATGTGTAAAGCTTCCTATTTTCTGCTTTTGGCCCCAAGACCTAATCACCATTGTAGTAACAGTTTATTGGACACACATTTATTTGGCATTAACTGTTTGCTTCCCCAAATCTTTTTTTTTTTTTTTTTTTTTTTGAGAAGGAGTCTCGCTCTGTCTCCCAGGCTGGAGTGTAGTGGCGGGATCTCTGCTCACTGCAAGCTCTGCCTCCCAGGTTCACACCATTCTCCTGCCTCAGCCTCCTGAGTAGCTGGGACTATAGGCACCTGCCACCGCGCCCGGCTAATTTTCTTTGTATTTTAAGTAGAGACAGGGTTTCACCGTATTAGCCAGGATGGTCTCGATCTCCTGACCTTGTGATTCGCCCGCCTTGGCCTCCCAAAGTGCTGGGATTACAGGCGTGAGCCACTGTGCCCGGCCTTCCCTCCCCAAATATTTAAAAAATATTTTTTAATATTTTTTAAATCTCCCTAAATCTTATAGCATAACCTCCTTTTGCCCTCTTTTGCATGTTTAAATTAAATGAAAATATTCAGGACTTCCTGGAAAAAAAGCCTACTGAAGACACTTCAGAGAACTGGGCAATAAAAAGAGGACCAGACTATAAAAATGCAGGCACCAAACAAATGGCAACAGCTTGGTGGCGCTTCTTGGAAAGATTGATTTCAAATCACCAATCCCAAGCAGGGCCCCACATGTAGGTTTTTTTGCTGGATACAAAGAGGCCACAACTCCTGCTCTCCTGCTCTCCCAGGGCTGCACTGGGACCCTGGGGGAAATTTACATAAAGGCACAAGGGCCTTTGGGCAGATTCTGGGGCCCGGGTCTGAAAGCTTTCATGAGGGCAAAGGTTTCTGGAAGAGCCCTTTGCCCTGCAGAGAGAGTCCCAGGCAGACAATGGTACTCACCTCGACTTTGGAGGTGGAGGAGGAGGTGAGAATGTCTCAATCCCACTTCTGTCCTTGGGGAACTCAAAGGCAAAAGAGGCCGATTTGCTCATCCCAGTCCCAACTTTGCTGTTCTGCCCAGAGGAGCCATCTGTGGGGTGGAGACGGTGCCAGGTCGTGGAGTTTGAATGGTCCGTGGGGCCATTTTTGGTCTCTCTTCCCCAGCTGTGACTCAGCAATTCCTGCTCCACCTCCTCTTCTTCCTCTATCCGGCACTGACGACTCCAGGTGCCTGCCTGGAACCTGGGCCGCCTCTGGTCCAAGGCTGAGGTCACAGGCTGGGGACACCTGGATGGGTCACTGAGAGTGACACCGTTGGTCCGGCAGGGAGGAATGGGGTCAGCAGGGCCTCGGGATGGAGGCTGGGGCCCAATGCCGCTGCTGCCAGAGCTCCCATCACTGAGGTCAGCCAGCGGTGACACCGGGGGCCCTCCGGCAGATGGTGACACCGGGGACCCTCCAGGGCTACTCTTGGACAACTTGGGGGGAATGGCGGGCCTCTCCTTGGGCTTGCTCTCCTTGGCACTGTGAGTATGGCTTTCCCTGGAGCTCAGCCCCTGCCTAGCCAAAGTCTCCTCTTCACCCACCTCGGAGTTCTGGCTCCCAGGCCCTGGCGGCCACTGCACCCCCACGGCAGAGTCAGGGCTGCTCAGGTAGATCGTCCGATGGTCCTCTTCCGGGTGGGCCGCCATGACGGTGATGGTGGCTGCCACCTGGGGAGTTGGGTCTGGGCTGTCCTGGCCCCAGCCAGATGCTGTTTTCTGGGCCCAGGCATTACCTGTCCATACCTGGCCCTGGCCTTGACCCTGGCCTTGGCCCTGCGCAGCTGCTGCGTGTTCTGTCTTGGCCTGTGGCTTGGAAGGCAACGGAGCTGCCTTCTTCCTCTTGGTACTCTCAGCATAGATGGGTTCAGGCTGTGTAGCCTCCCTGGGGTGGGCCGGGGGCTGGGGCTCCCCCGTCAGCCCAAGGCATCTGCTAGAGGCCACCCCTGGGCAGCCAAGGTCCTGCTGCTTCTCTGGGGTAGGTTCCTTCATGAGGGAGCAGTAATCACTCTCGAGATGGGGGACGAAGGGGTTGCTGGCGCCGCTGCCGCTGCCGCTGCCACAGGCGAGGCCGTCAGAAGAAGTGGCAGCCTCCGAGGTGAAGGACGCTTTCTTGGGGCCCAGGCAGGATGGGTGGGCAGTGGGGCCCTGGCTACAGCACTCCTTGGGGAAGCTCAGGCCCCGCTTCTCCTGCTCTGTGGGCCCTGCACACTTCCCCTGCTCCCAGCACGTGGGTGAGCCGTCCCTGCCACTATGCCTGCCCCGGGAGCCTGCAGCCTGGGAGGCAGCCTTGGCAACAGGGCTCCCAGGGCAGCAATCCAGAATGGAGCAGTACTCTCCGCCCTCGCTGTCCCCGGAGGGCGAGCACCTTTGATCACCGTCATCCTCCGAGGGCAGGGATTCCCGCAGGGGCCCAGGACCCTGGTGACAGCCAGATGTGGTCCCAGCAAAGGCAGCCAGTTTCTGGCGGAAGCTCCCCTGGGTGGAGGGCCGGTCTTGGTAAGGAAATGAGGGTTTTTCTTTGTGCCCAGCCTTGTCGTCAGGGAAGCTCACTGGGTGGAAAGCAATGTTCCTCTCGCCGCGGGGCTCAAGGTTGTGCAGGCCAACCATGGTGTAAGCTGGGGGACAGCGAGGGGAGTTGCCGTCAGGGGAGGTAGAGGGACCAGCAGGCTTCTGTACACCTCGGAAGCTGCCCAGGTAGACAACGGGGGCATCCTCCTGCTTCGGGAGGGGAAGCTTGCCGGGCGCTCGTCTCCAGATGACCTACACACAAGCCCAACGCAAAAAGACTTATATTAGAACTTGTCATAGAAAAAAGAGAGAGAGGAAAAGTGAGAGGGAAGGGCAATGATACTGTAGATTGTCTTCTGTAGTGCAGTGCAGGGGCGCTGGGGCCGGGGATTCAGTGCACGCCCACCTTCTGATCTCCCTACGGCCCTGTGATCATTGCTGGGGCACCCGCTGAGCCATTTGTCTTCCCAGACACTGAGCCGTGCTTCCCACCCATGGATTGTAATGCTTTTGGCTTAAGTCTGTGAAGTAGGAAAAGAAAAATATAACTCTGAAAAAGGACACTTTACCTTCTTCCTCCCTTGCAACTTCTCTCACCCAGTGGAAAATGGAGCTTGGGGTTTTGTTTAATTTTTGCTTTGAGTTTGTGAGTTTTTTGATAACCCAATCACAGCGCATGCCTGAAGAAATCGAAGTCGTTAAGTGTTTTGAAAACACACGGGACACACTGGAGCCAGGCGCCGTGGCTCACACCTGTAATCCCAGCACTATGGGAGGCTGAGGAGGGCAGATTGCTTGAGCCCAGGAGTTCAAGACGAGCCTGGGCAACATGGCAAAATCCCATCTCTACAAAAAAAATACAAAACCTTGCTGGGCGTGGTGCTGTGTGCCTGTAGTCCCAGCTACTTTGGAGGCTGAGGTGGAAGGATGGCTTGAGCCCAGGAGGCGGAGGTTGCAGTGACCCAAATCATGCCACCACATTCCAGCCTGGGCGACAGAGCCAGACTCTGTCTCAACAAAAAAAAAAAAAAGAAAGAAAGAAAAAAGAAACACATTGGGTGGGTGGGTGTGGGCAGAACAGGAGAGTGAGGGGTGGTTTCTGAACTGGATCAGGGTGAGCGGTGGCTTCTGAACTGGATCTGGGCTTCCTCGCTTCTTTCTGTGCTTTGCTTCCAACTATGCCAGAGGTCCTCTTTCTCCCACCTACAGCAGTGACCTCAGCCTGAGCCTGTGCGAGTGGTTGGACTCGTTGGGCTATGAGACAAAGATGTGGACTGGTCAATACCACCCCTGAAGTCACCGTTTCCTCCTCCTTCTGGTCTAAAGTCCTCCCTTACCCCCACTTTTAGAAGCAGCCTCAAAGCAGGGCCTGCCTCTGCCTTCTTTCCCAGGTGGTTCTGAGCTTAAAGAGTCCCTGGCTCAGGTTGGTGAAGGCTGAAGGTATTGAGAATGGCCTGGAGAATGGGTGTAATCAGTTTAGGAAAAAACAGAGCAGCCCGGAAGGGGACATCAAGTTCATCGCAACCCAAGGAAATGCCTTTCCTTAATGAAGCCTCCCCTGATTTAGAATTGACGTTAGCTTTCATATGTACTCACAGCCTTCCTCACCTACTCGCCATATTGGTCAAGAAAACTAGAACAGGCAGAGAGGTCAAACAGGTAGCAAGCAGTTCCTAGAACATGTCTTAGCCACATAGCTTCCTAAATGTGTCTAAAGACAGCAGATGCCAGCAGCCCTGGGTTATGTGCCCTCTGACTTTGTAAAGGTTACCTGTAGAATGAGCAGAATGGTCTGGCCTCTAGGGTGTAACTGTTTTTAGTGACCCTAGAAAAAAAGCTGGTAAAATCCAAGCTTCAAAATTGGAAACAGGAGTACTGGCTGGGTATTAGATAATATTAAGGAATTACTGCTAATATTTCGAAGTGTGGAGCCAGGTATGGTGGCTTACGCCTATAATCCCAGCACTATGGGAGGCTGAGGCAGATGGATTACTTGAGCCTAGGAGTTCGAGACCAGGAATTTAAGACCAGCCTGGGCAACATAGTAAGATCCGATCTCCACCAAAAAAAAAAAAGTAACCAAGCATGGTGGCATGCACCTCTAGTCTCAGCCTCCTAGGAGGCTGAGGCAGGAGAATCACTTGAGCCTGGGAGGCAGAGGTTGCAGTGAGCCAAGATCTCAATGCTGCACTTCAGCCTGAGCAACAGTGAGACTGTCTCAACAAAATAATAATAATAAAATAAAAATTAAAAACTAAAAAAACAGGCCAGGTGTGGTGGCTCACACCTGTAATCTCAGCACTTTGGGAGTCCGAGGTGGGTGGATCACTTGAGGTCAGGAGTTAGACACCAGTCTAACCAACTAACCAACATGGTGAAACCTCGTCTCTACTAAAAATACAAAAATTAGTTGGGCATGGAGGTATGCGCCTATAGCCCCAGTTGCTTGGGAGGGTGAGGCAGGAGAATCGCTTGAACCCTAGAGGTGGAAGGTGCAGTGAGCTGAGATCACATCACTGCATTCCAACCTGGGTGACAGAAAAAAAAATTAGTGGTGCCTCACGTCTATAATCACAGCACTTTGGGAGGCCGAGGTGGGCAGATCACGAGGTCAAGAGATCGAGGCCAACATGGTGAAACCTATCTCTACTAAAAACACAAAAATTAGCAGGGCATGGTGGCAGGCGCCTGTAATCCCAGCTACTCAGGAGGCTGAGGCAGGAGAATCGCTTGAACTAGGGAGTCGGAAGTTGCAGTGAGCAGAGATCGTGCCACTACACTCCAGCCTGGGTGACAGAGCAAGACTCCATCTCAAAAAAAAAAAAAAAAAAAAAAAAATTAAGCGTGATGATGGTATTGTGGTTATGTTTTTCATAAAGACTTTATCTTTGAAAGGTATGTATTGAAATGATGTGATATCTGGGGTTTGCTTTAAAATCATAAGGAAGAGGGATCAGTGCGGGGGGGAGGTGAAATGAGATTGGTCATGAGTTGATGGTTGCTGAAGTTCATATTGAAGGGTATTGGGTGCATGCGATTCACTTTGCAATTACTGCTACTTGTGTATATATTTAAAATGATCAATTAAGAAAATTTAAAACTTTTTTTAAAAAGCTTCATTTTTTTGTCTGCCCTACACAGTCTGCAAATCACAGGAGGAAATTCTGGGGGACTAGATTAGCCTAAAGGGACAGAGAGAAAGGAGAGCAGCTACAGCGAATCCCAGGCAAAAGCCATCTCAGGGCCAGCTGACAGGAAGCCATCCTGCAGGTTTCTTGCTGGAACAGCCCTCCCTGGCTGCCAGCCAGTCACCAAGCGTTCAAACAGGAGCAGCCCCTGTAAAAACACCACGAGTGTTAGTCAGCCTCACCTGCGAGACTTCGGCACTCAGGCCGGCCTCTGTCCACACATCAGAGGCCTCGGAGCTCATCATGGTGGGCTTCACGGCAATTGTGGGCTTGGAGTAAGGTGAGCTGTTCACACCTTCATCTTCCAGGCGGCAGTTCTCAGGCCTGGGAGGCAGGCGCGGTGGAGGGGGCAGGCTGCCCGCTCTGGGCTGGGGAGGGCCGGCCACCAGCTGGTGGTCGCTCCGCAGGCAGAAGCAGTTCTTGCAGGACCCGGGCTTCCAGATGTGCTCCACAAAGTCACTGCACGCAGACATTTTCAGGCTCTCGGGTTTCAGGCGGAGGGTCTGGTGCATCTTGAGCCGACAGGCTGCTGGTTCATCTCGCGCCCGGCTCTCTGGTGTGGTCTTGCGGGATTCAGAGGTGGGTCACAGAGTGGCTTCCTAGAAAGGCAGGACACTTTCCTGATTAGAGATTTGCCATGCCAGACAATGGGTGCACTATCGATTACAATCTCATTATTTGATCAGGGAGGAGAAGGAGGAGAAAAAGGTAAAGATTAGGATCCCGTTTATTTTGTGGCCCTTACCCATCTGTCACAAGGCTCTTAGACATTCTCTGGTGGTGTGGCCTTATCAGAAGCTGTAAAAACTAAACACAGCCTTGTTGCTTTAAAAGAGTACATAAAAGACATTTCGGTCCCCTAAAATCCTGGGTGAGGAGTCCCCTAAAATCCTGGGTGAGGAGTCCCCTAACATCCTTGGAGGTTTGGGGCAGTTATGGGAAGAAATCACATAGGGTTTAAGATGAGAAGCCGGTACCTCATCCATGTATTCCCTGCCACCGGGGGCCTAGAGTCTGGGACGCTGACCCAGAGAAACAAGAACTATCAAGTAGTACAGCAAATAAAAACAATGGCTTTTGGAAAATAACCCACAATTTTTGAACAAGAACTGTGTGAGAGGGGAGGCAGGTCTAGGCCCTGAAATGGTCATTGTATTCCAGACTTCCAACCAGGTGGAGATAGGAAAGGCTGGGAAAGGGGAGAAGTGGGGTGCTGCCCTGTCCTCCAGACCTTGTGGAGAGGTCTGGCATCTTGAGAAATATCCCTTGCTTAATATACATTACTTGACCGTGTGCTGCTGAGGTCCACAATGCTGGGTGCTATAGGCCAAAGGAGCAAACCAATAGCAAGACAAACTCATGGTCAAAGGTGACTGGATAGATGATAAGAGAGAGAAGAGATTAACGAAGAGCTATTTCCCAGTGATGGCTCTGGAGAGAAGGCAATTGGCTTGCTCAAAGAGTTCATTGCTTCTGAGAGTAAAACTGCAAGTGACAGTTTACACCATGGTCCCTTGTAAATCCACCATTGAGAAGGAGCTCAAAGGGTTGCAGTCATTAACCGATTACCTTGAAATCATTCCATCAGGTAGCTGTTGTCCCCATTTTACAGGTGGGGAAACTATGACAAAAACAAGAACTTGCACCAGCCCATAGACACAGAGAGTTTGCCTGTTCTGGAAACAGAAGCCAACTTTGCAGGGACTCCTCACTGCAGTGGTGATCTGCGTGTTGCTCCTGGCTCTTCTTAGCCTATTTAAAATGAACTGACTTCCCATAAGGAGAATGTTCAAGAGAAAAATCTTCCTTAAGAAGGTAAGTTAAACAGGTTCTCATTATATAGGGAGCATTTTGCCTTAGGGTTTGCTCTCCACTTTCCTCCCATAAGGATCTGCCTGAAGTTTGATAATCTCTAAACTGTCAACAGGACTAACCAAGTGGAATGAGCCTGGTAACCCCAAAATCATTCCAGAGTGTTTGCGGGAAGTGCTCTCTCTTATCTCCATGCTCACAGACAGGGGCGTTCATTCAACAAGTGCTGAAGCTATATGTGCCTCTTTTCCCTCCAAAGTGAAAAATGGGTTGGGGCCGGGCGTGGCGGCTCACGCCTGTAATCCCAGCACTTTGGGAGGCCAAGGTGGGTGGATCACCTGAGGTCAGGGGTTCGAGACCAGCCTGACCTACATGGAGAAACCCCATCTTCGCTAAAAATGCTGGGCGTGGTGGTGCATGCCTGTAATCTCAGCTACTTGGGAGGCTGAGGCAGGAGAATCGAGGCAGGAGAATCGAGGCAGGAGAATCGAGGCAGGAGAATCGCTTGAACTCAGGAGGCGGAGGTCGTGGTGAGCCAAGATTGCGCCACTGCACTCCAACCTGGACAACAAGAGTGAAATCTCTTCTCAAAAAAAAAAAAAATGGGTTGGAAGTGGTGGCTCACACCTATAATCCCACCACTTTGGGAGGCCGAGGCAGGAGGATCGCTTGAGCCCAGGAGTTTGAGAACAGCCTGGGCAACACAGAGATACCCTGTCTTTACAAAAATAATAATTATAAAAAAAATTATCCAGGTGTTGGAGTGCATGCCTATGGTCCCAGTTACTTGGGAGACTGAAGTAGGAGGATTGCCTGAGCCCTGATCACACCACTGTACTCTGGCCTGGGTGACAAGAGTGAGACCCTGTCTAAAAAACAAAACAAAACGAAAGTTAAGAATAAAGCCCACTGCATCTTTACACTAAATAAATCATCTGAAATAAAAGAAAAGTATCTTTTAGCAATCATCGTTAGGGTCTCACAGGTCCTTTTCTTTAAGAAGACTGTTAGCTAGGTTCTTCTCCTCCTCCAAATACGCCCAAGTAGCAGGTTCCTTCTTTGCCAAGTTCTCCAGAAGAGGTCACACTGGGCTTCAACACGCTGAGGAAACAGCCAGGTTTTATAATCTCAGGCCACAGAGAACTATAGGCTTGTTGCTAAGTTTTGGGAGGCGGAAAAAGCAGAGGAAGTATTCTAGCCTTCAGGAACAGGCAGTAGCTTCCTTCCTGGGAAGCTGATGGGTGAACACTGCCTACACCTTCTAGGCCACAGAAAGGACACTGTCCAGCCCACCTCCACTGCAGGCAGAGGCTCCCATGCCTGCTCCATGGGATGGAGGAAGACAGCTTGGAAACCAGCCCTGTGTGGGCTCTGCAAGTTCCCACAGCTCCTCCTGACAAGGGGCTATCTGAGGAGGTGGGGGCCCAACCACTTCCTCAGGGGCTACCACAGATTCACAAAACAGCAGTTTTGCTTGGCGACATGTTGCCTTCTCAACAGGCAAGTAAGAACACAAACTTGTTATTGGGGAAGGGGCGACATTGGTACCACAGGCCCTACTTTCTAAGATTCCCCAACCTTTGCACAGCCCTGGGAGTGTGGAAGGATCTGGATTGCTAGCATGGGGGAAGTTTCCTTGAGAATGTCTCACCAGTTTACGAGCACTCTCCGCTCTGAAATTTCAGAGCATCCTCAGCTCTGAAATTCTTGGATGTTTAGACATGCAACTTTCATCACACGACTGCCGGGGATGGACGCAAAGATTTTTAAAGGGAAGTCATTGAATAAGAAGAGAACAAACGAAGCCCTGGGCTTCCCACTGTCATTGACTCACTGCATCCTGTTAAAACTGGTTTCTCAGTCACAGCAAACAGAATTTACCACCGCATGCAGCCAAAAAAAAAAAAAAAAAAAAAGGCTGTTTTCCCGTTGCACTTCTGTGCTTGCTTGGAATTATCTCCTATTTGTTTTAAGTAAAAGATGGTGAGAAACACAAGTGGCACGAAGCCTTGCCTCGCCTTGCCTGGTACAGCAGTGCCAGCTCTCCACAGCATGGGGAAGGCACTTCCCAGCCCACATTCCTTACCTCTGAGGGGAGGCGGCCCCCAGAATTATGCAAATCCCCCCATTTCAGTAGGAGGCTGCAGTGTCAGATTCAAAAAAAGAGCTCAGCATTCTTTCTGATCCAAGTCATGAAAAAAATGTCTTTGCCTCTGCAAACTTCTGCACTAGATTTGTGGCTACAGTTTGCAAGACTGAAGCTGTCAGATACACTCCCACCCCATTTCAAAAAAGAATCTGAAGAATCAAGGTGGCCAGACCTACAAGATTAAATATTTTGGCCCAAAATACCCCCTCAGACTTACATCAGAAGTTGCTTATGCCTTATCCTGAAGTGACAGAATTCCAGAAAACATTCACCTAAATTTTTTTTTTCTACATTTACAGTGAAATGAATGCAACACCAGAAAAAGGAAAGAAATGTGTGTGGAAAGTGTCTGAACTTCAGCACACTCCACTGGCCAGGGTTGACCAGGCAGAAAGGGGTAAGTGACAACTTTACCACCCGCTAGCCCCCTGCCTCCCCACTCACACAGAGTGTAAATTATGATATTCACCCAACTTTTCCTTTTCTTTTTTCTTCCTCCAGTGCTGTGGAATCTAATCTCAGAGGGAGGAATGCGGTTTTGCACCCACTACAGTCGAAACCAACCAGACCTCAGGAGAGCAAAATAACTGCGGAATTCCCTAGGGCTTCCTGTCAAATTTCCTTCTCAGAAAGGGAAGGGGGAGAGAAGTTGTTCAGGATAGTTCAGGCCAGTGATCAGGAAAGCCTTCTGAACCTGACTCCGGACTGAATGCATGGCAAAACTCCTCGTCCCTAGACCATTGGGTTTTGCTGTCGGCTCTGCAAGACCATGTGCAGGGTGAGCTTACTTGAGAGAAACGCACACACCGTGAGCTGGCGCTCTCCGCTGCGAATGCTTGGCCGCCTCCATGCCCAGCAGAGGATTCTGCGTTCTAAGTGTGTGTGTCCCCGGATACCAGCAAAGGTTAAGAACGTGCTCACAGCATGCGTTTCAGAGGGCTCAGCCAGGGCTTGGGGGAAAGGGCATCATCTCGTTGCCTCTGGAGCCCCGCTGCTGCATACCTGGGAGTTACCCTGGACCCCCAAACCATCCCCCCGGGTCCTGGTCCCAGCAGCCAGGCGGCCTTCCGTCTCCGCCCCTTGACAATACTCTATCGGTGGAAAGCAGTCCTCAAAGCGCTTCAGTCTCCCGCCGCAAACAGAGCAGCGAGACCAGAGAAACCATCCTAACAGTCGGTCCTCCCTCCTGGAACTCGTAGGAAAGTTTCCCCGTTTTAAAGAGCGCGATTCTCGAATGGATCGACAACACCCTCCAGCTCCCCGGTCCTCCCGGCCGGGCGCCTCCCTGCACCTCGGGCACCACCCCGGGCTCACGCGGCCCCGGCGCTACCCACTCCCCGAGTGGCCGCCTGTCACCCCAGGGGTCGCCTGCTCGGCGATCGCAGCGCCCCTCCAAAGCTCCCCTCTGCGACCACGCTCGCCAGACAAAAAGAGGCCGAATTTGGAGAGCGCGTCGCGGGCTCACCTCGGGGCTGCGCTTCCTCTGCCCCTCCGTCGGTCTCCAAGCCGCCCGCCGCCCGGCCGGAGCATTGTTCGCTGAAGGTCTGCGCGCGGTGCGTGCCCGGCCGCTGGCGGGTGGCGTCTGCCTGGGCCCGGCGGCCGGGTGGCAGCTGCGAGCGCGGCTCCGCCCCCTCCGCC